CAGAATGGAGTATGGANATCCTACGAATTAGGCATTGGTACAAAGGCAGACAATGGAGAGGGATATGAAAGCATGTGAACATATTTGGACCATCAAAAAATAACATATATTCAATATTAAAAACATATATTTATATGCAATACAACATTATATAAATTATAATATTAGTAATTTAAAAAATCTGGCTCCAGGTGGGCACACTTTACTGCAACAGGATGGGGAAATGACTAAAACTCGATATTTTGGCATATAAAAAAAATACAATGTAAAAGAGACTGCAGACGCAGGTTGATTCTACAAAGTACGAAACACGGTTATATTTTTTCTTATTCTTATGTTTCATTTTTTTTTTCATACTTCAGTTATTTTCATAAATTTATTCTTTACTTTTGTTAATACCATGTGGAGATAGGCTACCTTTTTAAAGTGCTATTAATACTATTTAATCTAGATATTGCTTTTAATACATCTTGATCATTATTTCTTTCATCAACATTGCTTTGAACCTCATCTTCCTCTAAAAAACTGCGTGTGGAAAATACAATGTGCTCATTTTAACAGGAGGAACCAATTTCTAGACCACCCACAACAGGCCAATTTGTTGCAAATACTAAAAAGAAATTGCATGGGCAATTTAATGCCCCTTATTTATAATCTTTTAGGCCCTATGTGTATACACTTTATGCACTTGTGTTTTCAGTGGTAAAATATTTCAGTTTAAATGTTTTCGAATAATCTTTTTCCATAATCTAATTCAATCTAAGCTGATTTTATTAAAACTAAGATAATGATATAGACCTCCTGTGTGGTTTAGCTTTAAAGTTTCAAATGTCTTCTGCAAAAGAAAAAAAAACATAGTTTTTTATTAGATACTTCTGGAAAACCTTCCATCCTACTAGTGGCTCTAAAAGTAATGCTATTTGAGCATTAAACACCTCAGAGCAGCTTTACCACCGATCAAATAGACCCGAGGTTAAACCCTTATCTTATATTTTGTGGCTTTGAGTTGTTTGTGCAGCTTAAAGCATCTCATGACCAAAGTTTAATCTTTAAAGTAACTTTGGCATTGATTTCCTGATCTCACAATTTGAGAAAGTCAGGAAATCATGATCTATAACCTTAAAGTGTTTTCTTCACGAACGCAGAAATTACTCAAAACGCTCAGAAGATGTTCAACAAACAATGAGAACATTCAATCTAAACAAGCACCCTAATTAACTAATAATTTAATAATCATGTTTAATAAACAAAATATTCCCTTAAGCATGGCACTCTGTTTCAGAGGTTATATAAACAAAATGCTTGTTTATTAGAGCAGCAGCAATTAAATCTAACTGCAGAATGTGGTGCATCTTCTATTTACACCACAGTGAGTCACAAGTATTGTGATCACACACACAGTTCAGACTGGGCCAAGACCTCACAGGGTCTGGAAATGTCTAATTAATGACTGTATAACCAGGCTTGCTGAAAAGAAAATAATATTAATTTGTAGGTCTAGGAGTTCTCAAATGCTTAAGATTTAACCTTTTATTCCCAGTATACCGATTTAGCATTTCGTTTCCTCTTTATAGTTTTAAACTAAGGGTGTTATGCTACCATTTGTTTACCTATGGGACTACATTTTAATTTATTGCCTGAAGCAGCTTCATCTATCAGCCTCCTATTGAGGAGCAATAGCTCCACTTAAACCCTGTACGTCAGTTATAGAAATCTGTTAAAGTAGGTCTAGCTTGAGCTGCAGCTATTTAAAGTCCTCCTAAAGCTCCACGGAGTCAAAGCATTTGCTATAAATCGGTCAAACAATTTTAAGCATTGCAGTGGAAGCTCACCAGAGGTGTTGAACTGTGAGCTCAATGGAGCGCATGCACTGGAAAATACCAACAAGGTGGCAGCATATGGTGCCAGATGACTATATCAGAGACTGGCTGTTAGTATTTGAAACAAAGGGAGGAAAATAACTGAAATCAAGCAGCAAATTAAAACAATAACACGTAATCCATCCACATAAAGAAGCAATTAATTCTTTAATGTCTGAGATTTTCAATGATGCACCGACACAAACTGGTGTTTTATTGTAATGTATTTGTGAAGTAGACAGAAAATTGTGTGGCTTAAAAAGAATTTACAGATGCAAAATCTGAAAAATGTCAAGGCTTTTTGCATTTAGCCTTCAATAGTTAAAATCAAGTTCTCACTGGAAATATAACTGCAGTCCCTTTGTGGTATGAATACATTTTAGTCGATTCTTCTTGTCAAATTAGCACAAGCTCAATCAGACCGTATGGACAGCGACTATAAACATGTTCATGTTTACTTCGTGATAAATGTTATGTCTTGATAGATCACGTCTATTAAAGTTGCATCTATTTGTTAATTTCTTGTTGTTATCCTACTGGATCCATTCTTCCTCATATCTTGTATATCTGCATAAAGTATTCATCCCCAGGTTGGCTCTTTTGCCCCTTTTATCCTTCACACCAAAACGCATGACAGGTAATGTCTTATACGTCTTTGGAGTATAAGTGGAGTTGCTTTATAGGTACTGTTGAAGAACACAATGTCTACAATATAATCCTGCCTCATCAAGTTTTACCACATAAATAATGTTAAGGGTGATTTCAATAAACAGTCTACTGCATGTAGGCCAAGAGTATGGTAAGGTGTCAACTAAATAGAGTGCCCATTTGTAATGATTTTCTGGTTCCTCTACAGTTTTTGCTACAAGCCACTTCTTTTCTTGAATGAGAGATTGTGCAACACCACTCATGTTTACGTGAAGGAACAAATATGCTCCCCAGAGGTGGAGCAACTCGCGGTGAGCATGAGATCATACTATCTTTCATTAGTTTGAGAATGTAATCATACTCAGTGTTTACAGAGGACCACCAGCAGGGCTGCAGACAGTGACACCAATTTAGCAGACAAGTTAAACAGGTTTTTCACCCGGTTTAACTCCCCTCACACCAGCCCCCTTCCTGTCCTCAACTCTTAACATGTCTCAAACCCCCAGCCTTAGCTACATCTAAGACCTGAGCCTCAGCCTGGGGGTGGTCCCCACTCTCTGGAAGACCTCCTGTGTCGTACCAGCGACCCACACAGCACACCAAGGAACCGGCCCACTTTAGACCGGTCACCCTGACCTCCCACCTGATGAAGACCATGGAGCGCCTCATCCTACCTCACCTGCGCACCATGGTGGCCCCACCATGGACTCGCTGCAGTTTGCTTACTGACCGTAGGATGCCATCATCTACCTGCTGCAACGGGCGCTCATTCACCTGGAGACCACCGGGAGCACAGTGAGTCATGTTCTTTGACTTTTCCGGCACTTTCAACACCATCAGCCAGAGCTGATAAGGGGGAAGCTGGAGGACGCTGGAGTGGACAAACATCTTGCTGCCTGGACCATCAACTACCTCACCTACAACATCGATAGCTGCCATCTCCAGAAGTTCTCCAATGAATCGGCCATTGTAGGCTGTGTTTCTGAGGGGAACGAGTATTGGATAACCAAATGGAGTATTGATAGGTCATCATGAATTTTGTGGACCGGTGTGAGAAGAACCACCTGTGTCTTAATATCAGTAAGACCAAGGAGATGGCGATTGACTTCAGGAGAATTCAACATATATCTTGGTAATATATTTGTCTATTGTTTCCTCTTTAACCCTGCCCTGGCAGGATATAGAAACTGTGGAGAGCTTAAAATACCTAGGTGTTAAAGTCAATAATAAACTGGACTGGACTCATAACACCGACGCCGAGTTCCTTTGCAGTGTGCAGTTTGATGGCAGCAGGTCATTCATCCCTGCTGCCATCAAACTCCAAAACGGGACAATACAACATTAATAACTTGTTCAATGTATAATGTGCAATTCTACTATTTGATACCCTGTACAATAACTTGTTTCTCTATATTTGACACCCAGTGCAATAACTATATATATATATAAATTCCCATCTATACTGTATGAATACTCATGTTAATAGCCTGCGCAATAATCATGTATAATAATGTATAAAAAAATAAGAGATTTTATACTGTATATACCCCATGCACCTTTACTCTTTTTGGCACCTTCATCTTTCAATAGGTGTAAAACAGTACTTTACTTTGATACTCAGCAATTGTTTACACAACTCGCTTTTGACCCCCTCCACATGCTTCACCTCCTGGTGTGTACCTTGGTTTCCATGCTATTTGTTCACTGATATTCTCTGAGCCAATCACAGAGCAAAAGGTGAAACAGTTTCAGGAATGCTTCAGACAACTGATCATATTAGTCTATGTAAGGTATTAACAGCAAAGGGAGCTGAATACAGATTTTACTTTTTAAAGTTCTCCCACTCTGTGTTGGTGTATCACATAAAGTACCTTTGAATTGGTATAGAAAGGGTGTTTAAGTCAAAATGGTATGAAGCTATTATCTATTAGCTAGTATCTGCTATTATCTGTCATTATTTATCCCGTATTATAACCCCACTACTATATATATCATCCATATCCTAACTTTCCTGTATAATCTGTTTATAGGTTTCATATATATTCTTTTTATAGCCTCTTACAATTACTATCTGTATATATATATATATATATATATGTATATAAATATATACCATTTATAGTCCATACATACATAGTCTCTGTGCACGTGTAAATAAATTTCCTGTATAGCACTTCCAGATAGATGCAAACTAAATTTTGTTGCTCTGTACTTGAGGCAGTGTAATGACAATAAAGTTGAATCCTATTCTAATTTTATTCTAAGCAGGACGGTGGTGGCAGTCTTTAACACTTTTGATCATGCGTCACAAATGCAATAAATATCATACTGAATAATTTGTACAAGAATGACTACAGAACACATTTTGAAGATATCCGATACAATTTTTCAAGCAAATAATGTAATTCAAAACCTTCTAAAAGAATCCATTTATTCAGACAGTTGAGTTATAATAATGTCCAGCATTAGAGCATCACAGGGATTTGCACTTACTGGCTTCTTAAGGAAAAACAAAGACAGTCCTCCAACGAGAGGCACGTCCCCCAGCAAGGGCTCCATCACTACCCTTAGCACGCCATGGATCTATGGAAACACAGGACAGAACAACAGTAAGACATCCAGACATGCAAACGGGAGGCTTAGTAAAGCTAGAGCTTGGCATTCCTCAGCGGTTGAGCAGCCGGAGCTGGAACACATGACAGGCTGGGAACTTGATCGCTGCCTGGCTTTGCACCTTCCAGCTTTGCTCTCCACATTTGCTGTGTCATTTTTATTCAAATTATTAGGACTATATGTTTTTTTGTTTTTGTTTTCTTTTACTTTTTTTTTTTTCGGGGGGGTGGGGAGTTATAAAACCTGCTCACAAATTAATATAAAAGAGCAGTTCATTTCTTTCATTATTTCTTCTTTTTTATATTCATAATATTCAGAGCGAGACAATGTGTGCACCTAAACCGAGACTTTACAGTATTTCTTTCAGTCACCAACATAAAATAAAGCTATTTAAAAGATATGAAGTACAGATAAATAAGCATAATATGAGTGGGCAAAATTGTCTCACCTTTGATGTGTAACTAACAGTTCCTTTTACATCCCTATTATGGAGGATTTATGGTCACAATGGGTTTTCATCAAAGATTTAGGCAAACTTTTTTAATAGAGCAGTATAACAACAGAAACAGTGATCTTCACTAACATAGGGTAATTGATATTTCTTTTTTTTTTCAATGGCTCCATTTAGAAAACTAAGAGGACTTAAAATCAATACAGCATTAGATTTATTAGAGGATTAAAAGATAAACTGCATAAAAGGCTAATTACACACAATCAATGACCAACAGGATTTAATCTAAACCCTCCTGAAACAAACAGTGACTTAAAGTATGAATTGTTCATAATGACTGTAGGGGGATATGCTCTATGCAGGTCTGCATGAGCTAAATAACAGGCATAGGGTGCAATTAATGTTCCCCGGGGGAAGATATAAAAACCCTTGGAGGAATATTGCAGATCTCTCCTTCCGCCTAATGTTCCTCAACAGCTAAACCCAGAGCCACTGAATCAAATGATCAGCACATAGAAATGCAGAGAAAATGGTTTTAGTAACATTATCTTAATAATGTTATTTCTATATAAGATGCTACAACCTTTACCTTTACTTTGCTGTTAGAAAAATGCACATCCGCCCAACACTTTCCTTGAGGCTGCTGATCATTGGGTAATTATCAAAACCTTAGAAAAATCCCACACATTGATCAAAATTGGAGTTATAACTTAGTTGAAATATTGGTCCGTGGTGGACTCTGGGGCAGATCAAAGGAGAGGAATGCTCACTGGTACTGCTCTGATGAAGAGAGAATGGTCTAGATGTTTTTATGGAAAGTTACATGCTATGTTTACCTCTGGGGGAACACCATACACAGTAGGATGTTGGGCCAAGACAATCCATCTTGTTGGATTTCCCTGATTTGAGATCAGAGGAGTCATTATGTTCCACAAAATAGAGCAAATTAATCCTAACACACAAGTAGGATTATTTCCTCGATATCAGAACCTCTCCAAAAGAGAACATCAGAGCCGAATTTAGCTCAAATATCTTGCTGTGTAAATCCCCCTTTACATTTTTATCTTTATTTCAGGGTTATCCAGCTTTGTAGCTCAAGGAGTAAGAGGAGAAAAACATTGACTTAGAAATTATTGGTAAAATTTTAGAAATTCAGGTCTATAATAATTTCACGTGTTCCCATTTAAATTGCTAAACTAACACAGGCTATTTGCAGGGCCATATTATCTTGATCTCTCTAGCCTCTGGTGAGACTGTTTTTAGAGTTCTTTGGTGTTTCTGATTACCTGATCCTGACCTGTTCTGCTTCTCAACAACTGAGCCTGCCTGTTCCTGTTCTGATCTGTTTGCCCGACCTCGCTTGGGACTCCTGCATGTTCTCCAGGACTGCAGCATCTAGGACACTCTGGGCAGCACCCACCACATCTTGTTGGCAGCCCACCGGCTGGATCCTACATTGTTCTCTGGCAATGGACTGAACTTGTAAACCAGGTTAGTGACTCACATGGATAATTATCCTCTGTCAGATTATCATGACCACTAACCTTTGTTTCTCTCCTGCAGAGTGTACTGGCTAAGGTGTGGGCAGTGCTATCCAAACATTGAACAAAAGTTTCACTATTGTCTGATGGGTCACTTATATGTCTGCATTTTGCTGGGGCAGACGAACATCCTTGGACTCGCTGTCAGAATCTGAGCCGCTTCCTACCTGGTCATCCTCATCAGTCTCTCCATGTCCGCCCAAAACACTATCATCAATAATTTGAAGCATTTCTAAAGCCTATTTTGGTGTTTGATGTTTTTTGAAAGCCATTTTTCTGTATTAGCCAAAGAGTTCTAGGTAGAATTTTGGTTTCCAGGCAACGGCATTATTTTTGACGTTTTCATTTTATCGAAAAAAAACTACATGAGAATGAAGGAAATATAGAAACAAGAAAACTCAGTGAACAACATATGATTAATGTAAATAAAGTTCTATCCCTTTAAAATCTTAAAACCTTCAAAATGACGGTTTTGGGAGTTCTAGGCCGTTTCTCAATTCACAAAAATGTGAGTACAGACTTGTGTCCTTGCCAAGTATGTTCTTGGGAAGAACACAGGAAAGTATGGACTTGGGGAGAATGGGGGCACGCAGTATAAAGCTGGGTCAATTGGAACAGAAGCGTACTCGTGAAGTCACCACATGCCCGGCTCGACCAGAGCTGCATTTCACCTCCTGTTATTAATAGTCTCTAGATAATAATAAATTCCTACTTTTTTCATTTTAGTGGCGGAATGATAATTAACAAATCAATGAACATTTTCCAGAATAAAACAAAAAAATTGCCATCAAAAGCAGCGGTACTTCACACACGGCTATGCAGAGAGAGGGCTGCTGATGAGGTGCTGAGGTTAGCCCTGGCTGCCGTTACCCTCGGAGGTCCGCTGGTTGCTGCAGTCCTCTTGACTTCTGATTTTTTTTTTCTTTTTAATTACGCATTAAATCGGTAAAAGGGCCATATAGTGAAACTTTAAAGTATAATATTCTCACATCAAATGATCTTAAAATGTACTTTTACTGAACAACAGCAACAGAAAAGAGAACTTTTAA